CATCCTGGCCAAAGATGGTGAAACCATCTACTAAAAATAAAAAAATTAGCCGGGTATGGTGGCATGCACCTGTAATCCCAGCAGCTTGGGAGGCTGAGGCAGGACAATGGCTTGAACCCAGGAGGCGGAGGTTGCAGTGAGCTGAGAATGCGCCATTGCACTCCAGCCTGGGCAACAGGGCAAGAATTCATCACAAAACAAAACAAAACAAAACAAAAATAATAATGTATCGTATAATCACTTTTAAAATAAACTTTTGTATACCTTTATAATTTATAAACTTTTCATTATGGACTGAATGTTTGTGTGTCCCCCTGCTGATTCATATGTTGAAGCTCTAATGCCCTGTATTTGGAGGTAAAGCCTGTGAGGAAGTGGTAAAGGTTAAATGAGGTCAGAAGTATGGCGATGTAATTTAATAGTGCTCGTGTCCTTATGAGAAGAGGAAGAAACTCCAGCGCCCTCTCTTATGGCCACATGAGGACACAACAAGGAAGTGGCCATCTGCAATCTAGGAAGACAGTGCTTTCCAGAAACCACATCAGCTGGTACCTTGATTGTGAACTTCCCAGTACCTAGAACTCGGATGAATAGATTTCTGTCGTTTAAGCCACCCAGTCTGTTGTATTTTGTTGTGGCAGCTTGAGCAGACTAATATACTTTTTATATACTTTTATAAACTTTCTGCACACTTTTATAATTTACAAAAATGTTCATGCTGGGTGCAGTGGCTCACACCTGTAATCTCAGCACTTTGGAGGCCGAGGCAGGCAAATCGCGAGGTCATGAGTTCAAGACCTGCCTGGCCAACATAGTGAAACCCCCTCACTACTAAAAATACAAAAAATTAGCTGGGCATGATGGTGGGTGCCTGTAATCCCAGCTATTTGGGAGACTGAGGCAGGAGAATTGCTTGAACCTGGGAGGCGGAGGTTGCAGTAAGCTGGGATTGCACCATTGCACTCCAGCCTGGGCAACACAGTGAGACTCTGTCTCAAAAAAAAAAAAAAAAAAAGTTTATAATGACTGCTTCATCTAGTTGTGTTTTAAATCAGATAGGAACCAAAACAACTTACAAACAAAACTAAGCGTAAACTGTCTTTTACATTTACTTATTGGCTTATGTTGTTACAGTTAGAAGCGCTCTTTGCTTCTTCCCATGTATCTGTATTACTGTCTAATGCTCTTTCATTTCTGCCTTTGGGGCAGTCTTTATTTCTCTTAGGGCCGGCCTGCTAGTGGCATGTGTATTGGGAGCACCCTTCAGTCCCTAGGCAGTTTGCAACTCTGCCTTAGTCCTCACCTTCTTCTTGTGCAGAGCCTCAGGGCTGGCCATATGTGGGAGTTTAGAGCCTTCTCAGATCTTTGAACACATGCATATCCCCACGCATGCACATGGCCCTATGCATGCATGTGGCCTCTCAGAGTCCCAGGAATATGACAGGCATTTCCAAAGCCCCATTGACACCTGACTCCTGGCTTTTCCCTCAGCGTTTTTTGTTGTTTGGTTTCTGGCTGTTGTTTGTCCTAACTGATTTCACTGCCTTGGGCAGCTGCAACGTTCAACAATTGCTGCTGATTGCTTCGGATAAAAGCTTAGGGAAATGTTGTTGGTACTGAGCAAGCTCTGGGGCAGGTCAAGGTCAAATAAAGGCAAATGCTGGTGGTGGGATTTTCCAGGGAAATGTCAGATATGACAAATCATGACACATCTCTAGGAAGGGGATTCTGTAGAACTTTCCACCTCATTTTACCTTTTGGAGTGGCTGTCAGGCTGCTGGTTTTCAGGGCTATTGATTTTCAAGGCTACTACAGAGCTAGAGAGAAGGAGTTGGGAAGTTAAAATGCCACAAAGCTTGCTGTCCTTACTGAGACTCAGCCATTTTTCTTGAATAAATGTTCCATGGATTTCTGCAACCACTGGTGAATTTCCGCAGTTCTGCAAATGCTGATTTTGACCATTTCTACCAGAATTTTCATTTCTTTAATGGAGGAGAAGACTTTCAGAGGTCCTTACTCCACTATTCCCACTGATGTCACCACTTGTTAATTAAATATATATGTATTTTTGGAGGTGCAGTCTCCCTCTTTTGCCCAGGCTAGAGTATAGTGGCATGATCTCAGCTTACCACAACCTCCACCTCCCAAGTTCAAGTGATTCTCCTGCCTCAGCCTCCCAAGTAGCTGGGATTACAGGTACCCGCTACCACACCTGGCTAATTTTTGTATTTTTGTTAGAGAGGCGTTTCACCATGTTGGCCAGGCTGGTCTCAAACTCCCAACCTCAAGCAATAGGTCTGTCTTGGCCTCCCAAGATGCTGGGATTACAGGTGTGAGCCACCATGCCTGGTCTTGTTAATTAAATATTAAGAGTGTGTGTGTGTGTGTGTGTGTTTGTGTGTGTGTGTGTGTGTGTGTGTGTGTGTGTGTGTACGTATATATATGAATGAGTGATACACCCAGGCATGCACAATACACATGCACATACACTCATAAATTTTTCTCTAAGACGTGCCTTAGCTATATTTCTATAACTTTTTATATGTCTTTATTATTATTTATTTATAAATAACTTTTACTTTTCTTATTTTTTCTTCTTTGACTGTAGTACACTACAACTTTCCTCCTCTGCCTTCATTGCCTTCCATGCTATAATTATCAGGGAGTTTATTTCTTCTTCTTCTCCTCTCTGTCTTCCTTTTCTTCTTTCTCCTCCTTTTTTCCTTCTCCTTTTAGCATTATGCTATAGTATTTATTTAGACTGAATTATGATTTATTCATTTATTTGTTAACCATTATTTCTCAAATCCACATCCTTCTGTTTCGGAATTAATTTACAGAATTCTTGACTGATTATCCAGTGACAGTGTGGATGCAAACATTTTGAGTCCTTAATGATGAAAAATGTCTTCATTTTAGGTTGTTGTTTTTTGGTGCATATAGGATTCTAGGTTCAAAATAATTTTCTCTGACTTTGGTGCTCTTGTCTTCTAAAATCCAGTGTTATTCTCTGGTTTCTCTTCAGAATGAATAAATTCTTTTGCCTTTTAAAATCTAGTATTGCTGAAGAGTTTTATTTCTATCTACTTCTTATTTCTTAAAGATGAGACACTTTTCTGTTTGGAAAAGAAAGTTCTTAGAACACCTTAGTGTACTAACATTTCATCAAGCATGTGGCTCCATTAATCAGTAGCTGTCTATAGTTGGGCAAGTGATTTTAGTGTCTCCAATCAGTTGTCTCATCTGTACTTTGGGAGAAATTATGAATTTAGAACTCACAGGGTGGCTACAAAGATGAAAATACATTCTGCATGTAAACCATTTAGCTCAGTGACTTGCTCTGAAACAGTTCAGCTTTACCATTACTATATTAGTTACTCCACAGGCTATTTTAATCTGAATGCTCTTTCTTCCATTGACCATTCCCCCGCCTCTATTAGTTCTTTTATTTTTCTTTCTTTTTTCCATTTTCTCTGTTTTCTCCTCTCAATGAATGGAAGTTAGACTTCTTGGATAGGTTCTTCAAATATTCTCTCTTTTTTATTTAAAATCTGTCTCTTTAAGAGATTTTGTTTTTATTCTCTTCCTTCAATTATCCTCAAGTATCTAGTGCTCCCATTAGCTTTCTATATGCCAGGAATTTCTTATGATATCTACTCTATGGCTGCTATGCCTTCCTGTTGTCCAGAGCTTTTATGAAGTTATACTTAACAACACAGCAAAACAAGAAAACTCATATTTTTCACTTTAAGTGGTATGGATAAGATTATAAACAGTAATGTATCTTAAACTATCATCTTGATCCTATAACTTGCTTTTTTTTCCTCCTCCCAAAATAGTTTTAAGGTAGCTTTGTTTTTGTATAGATGCTGAAATCCATAATCTCTGTAGAAATTTTGGAAGACTGAAAGAAACACAAGTAAGAAAATAAGCAATGCCACTAATCTCATCACCATTCCAGAGATATCATTAATATTTTCTTGGTTCCCCTTCTAGTTATTTTATGCATGTGAAAAAAATAGAATCCCATTGTCCATTGACTCTTGTAACATGTTGTGTTTATGTTTGTATATTGTGAACATATTTGCATGTCACTAATCTTCTAAATATTTTTTAGTAAATGTATAAGATTGCACGTATATACCAAAATTTATTGACTCAATTCCCTCATTGGTGAACATTTCCATTTTTTAGTGCAGCAATGAGCATCATCACAGATACATCTTTGCTCAAGTCCATGGTTATGTCTTCAGAATACACGAGGGAAGGGTTTTGCAGAGACCATTCCCTTCATAATTCCAAACAGGTGTCCAGAGAAGTTACACCAGCAAAGACGGCTGTGATTTAATGTGAAAATTCATTTTCTCTGGGGGATGGATAATGAATAAGGAACACAACCTCATTGAATATCATGCTTCCCAAACCTGGCCAATCATCAATTTTCTAGGCGTACTTATTTAAATCACAGATTCTTGGAACCACCCTTGGAAATGCTGATTCATTAGGTCTAGCACTGGCCCAGGAATTTATATTTTTAATAAGCTCCTAGGTGATTCTAATGGTGAACCAAGGTTACAAAACGGGATCTCACAACTGCAGAGCCTGGGCATGGGCCTGAGGGTGGGAGGGACAGATACCAGGTCCCAGGTGTTCTGCAGTGAGAAAGGTAGTGACAGTGAGAACACAAAAGGGACATTCTGAAAATAGGACTGACCATGTTGGAGGTTGTTTTGAAGTGAAAAGCAAAGATATGAGCTCCAATGAGTACTTAAAGTTTGGAGCACTAGAGAGAGACCTGGTTGATTGTGGTGTCCTCAGTTGTTTGGAAGGAGAAGGTAGCTTTGCCCTGGAATTGAGACCTGGATTTCAGTGGGCTCTGTAGAGTGTACCACGTGAGACTGGGAAGCTCCCTTTCCTTCTCTGGGTCTTCAGCGTTTGTGTAATCTGAAGGCGTTGGACTATATCAGGGACTTTTCAAGCCGTGGGAACACAAAGCCACGATGGAGGGGGTGGCTAAGAAGGTAGAAATCCTTCTGTGCTCACTCTTACACTCCTCTAGGGACCACAAATTAGAGCCCCAGGTAAAATTGTGTTTGCAATTTTTTTTTCTGCTGCCAGAAGTTTGAAAATTTCCAGACTAGACGGCCTTTCTGTTATAAGAAGCCATATTAGTTTGTGAACCAAGGCCATGCGGAGGAAGAACAGGGGACTGGAGGGATGAGAGGGGCCATCTGGAATGGACATTTCAGGCCTCATTCGAATCTCAAGGCTGACCCATTGGGCTGTGGCGGTAGCTCTCAATTTCCATCTCAGAATCAGTGTATTGCCTGAGTCAACTCAGAGTGACCTCCAAGGAAAAATCTAGTTGACTTCCCATCAGGTTCTTCTATTTGGCTTGCTGGGGGAAGTTCCTCACTCCACAGGACCCGGAAGCCCAGAGAGATGACGCTGCATCATTTGGGAACACTTTGGTCATTTCTTGCTGTTTAAGTATTTCAACAATAGAGTATGTTTGACCTTCTTTCAGTCTCCTTTCAAGCTGGGAATTTAAGGTGTTCTGCGGAATGTTGTGCAAACAAGGCTTTGGCTTTGATCTCTGAGAATTCATAGGAGTAAGCAGGCAGAAGATGAGCTGGGGGCCTGGAGGGATTAACTGTGAAAACCTGGCCGTGCTTTGTTGGACAGGGAAGCTGGGGTGGAGTGTGGGGTGTCTGGGGAACAGATGTGAACCTGCCGTGATCTTCTGCAGCTGCAGGCAGAGGTTTGTAAGAGGTGACTGCGAGTTCCCGTGGCGGTCAAAAGTCCTCTTGGTGTAGTTCACCAGTGGGCTCTTTTCTGACCGGAGCTGGAGTTAGTGGAGGAATTTGTAATTTGATTCCAGCAACCATGTAACAGGTTGGATGGAGAAAGGATGTCTTTTGAGAAGCCAGGGATTTGGTGGGTCTTATCTCTGTGTTGTTATATTCATTTCTAAACATTCCAGAGAGGTGATGGAAGAACAAAGCCCCCCTTCTCCGTAACCTTTTATTGCTTTGTGATCTCGATGAAGATGATGGGCAGGGAAGGGTAGGGCAGGGGCAGAAAAACTGTCTCCCCTAGAGCAGCCTGTCCCCGAGTTTATTATGGGGAATACTAGTCCTGAGAGATGCTTTGAATTATTTCATGATCAAGTAGGTTTAGAAATTCTGCACGTGGTGTTTTCCTCTGGAGATTCCCAATGCATATTCGAATACCAAAGGCTCTGAAATATCCTATAGTCAAAAATTCTCTGACTTTATTGAACTGAAAATTTCTCAAACTTAATTGGCCAGGGAATTACAATTCTTTTTTGGTGGAGAAGAGGCACCCACTGATATCAGATAGATGGAACTGCAGGAAGGGCTGGCCTCCAGGTTGGGAAATCGAGGAGTCCGCGATGTGCTCACAGAAGGGTGTTCCTGAAGTTTCTGCTTTCCTCCCAAGGGACATCAACAACTTAGCAACCCCCCTCTGAGTTACTCAGGTACAGTAGCTCTGCTCGCGATTTCATTTGAAGAACAAGACCAACAGCTGAAACAAATTCCCACACAGAGGGAAAAAAAAGTCAGGACTTAAATGAAACTTTTCCTAATTTATTTTTTATTTGTTATTTTGAGATAAGGTCTTGCTCTGCCTCCCAGGCTGGAGTGTTGTGGCTTGATCCCAGGTTACTGCAGGCTTGACCTCCCAGGATTAAGAGATCCTTCCGTTTTAGCCTCCTGAATAGCTGGGACCACAGGTTCACACCACCATGCCTGGATTATTTTTATATTTTTGGTAGTCGTGTTGCCCAGGCTGGTCTCAAACTCCTGGATCAAGCAATGCGCCTGCCTCAACCTCCCCAGGTTCTGGGATTACAGGCCAAATGAGCCTGTTTTTAGCTTTGTATTTCCTCTTTGTTTAGGAACCAGAGGTGGCCAGAATATGGTATCCTTTCAGCCAGACTTAATACTTTTCACATAGTAAAGGGGACTTTGCTGATGTGATTAAGTTAAAAATCTTATGGGGGAAATTATCCTGGATTAGCTACATGGGCCCAGTGTAATCATAAGGGTCCTTATAAGAAAGAAAAAGGTGCTGTGAAGATGGAAGGGGGGTGGGGAGGGAGAGGGAGAGGGAGAGAGAGAGAGAGAGAGAGAGAGACTGGAATTTTATGTTGCTGGCTTTGAAGATGGAGGAAGGTGTGTATGGTAAACACACCTGACAGTGATAACTTGACTTGAGCATACTCTAACAATGACCCTGTGATATGGTTTGGCTTTGGGTCCCCACCCAAGTCTCATTTCGGATTGTAATCTCTACATGCCAAGGGAGGTCCCTGGTGGGAGGTGATTGGATTATGGGGCGTTTCCCCCATGCTGTTCTTGTGATAGTGAATTCTCACGTGATCTGACGGTTTAGAAGCGTGGCCCTTCCCCTTGCAGGTGCTCTCTCTCTCCTGCTGTCATGATAGATGTGCCTTCCTTCCCCTTTGCTTGCCACCACGACTGTCAGTTTCCTGAGGCCTCTCCAGCCATGCGGAACTGTGAGTCAATTAAACCTCTTTCCTTGATAAGTTACCAGTCTCAGGCAGTATCTTTACAGCAGTGTGAAAATGGACTAATGCACTCTGCATGGCAGATGCACCTGAAAGTGTGTTCAGAGTCCCAAGCTAAGGAATCCGGAAGTAGCCAGCCTGGAGCTCTAATCCTTATCTATGAGGAACACCTTGAGACCCTGGCCAGGCCTGTGGAATGCAGACTGGGTAGTGGATTGAGATCCTTTATTTTGAGTAAAACGAAGGTTGCCAGGTGAAGATTGTTAGTGGGAGGGTGATTAGTGAAAATGCTATATAAACTGCCTGCTTTTTTTTTTTTTTTTTTTTTTGAGATGGAGTCTCATGCTGTCACCCAGGCTAGAGTGCAATGACACAATCTCGGCTTACAGCAACCTCCACCTCCCGGGTTCAAGCGATTCTCCTGCCTCAGCCTCCCAAGTAGCTGGGACTACAGGCACATGCCACCATGCCCAACGAATCTTTTTTTGTATCTTTAGTAGATACAGGGTCTCACCATGTTGGCCAAGCTGGTCTCGAACTTCTGACCTCATGATCTGCTCGCTTCAGCCTCCCAAAGTGCTGGGATTACAGGCATGAGACACTGCGTCCTAAACGGCAAGATTTTCATAAGTGGTTGTGGTTCTTCTGCCCAGCCTGGTGCCACTGGACTCTCTTCCCAGTTTGGAAGCTCCCAATAAAACTCATGTCTTATTTGCTGGCTCTAGGTCTCTTGGTCTTTTGAACATAGCGTTCTCCCCATTGGAGTCAACTAGGGCTTGGCACAACAAGGTGTCACAAGCCAAGGAATGCAGGTGGCCCCTAGAAGCTGGAAAAGCAAGGGAACAGATTGTGCCCCAGAGCCTCCAGGAGGAATACAGCTCTGTTGATGCCTTGACTTTAGACTTCTGACCTCCAGACCGATGGGAATAAATAAGGGGTTGTTTTCATCTATGAAACCTGTGATAATTTGTTAAGCAGCACTTGGAAATTAACAGTCACTTTCTTATTTGCCGTTGGCTGATGTTATTTTCTGCTAAATCCAAGGTGTGTGGTTTGTATATTTGCTGGTTTTTGCATGTTCTGCTGCTAAACTGTATCAACCCTCTGGTCAGTTCTGCCTTTGGTTCTCAGGACCTCAGCTGGAGCTTTGTCTCTGTGCTTGAAGTCAGAGGCTTCAGAGCAATTCCGTAGGCGTGAAGTTGCAACACACAGCTGCAGGGAGCCAGGTGGTGTGTCTTTAGGGAAACAACTCCCAACCCTCTCTGCTGCTGGAAGGGGCCGTTTTTGTTACAGACGCTCCCAGTTTTTTGCCTAAAATGTCTCTTTCAAATCCTAGCTTCTGAATTCTTTTCCCACACTTACATCTCTCCTTTCCATAATTTACTACCATTTTTACCTGATCATCAGAAGATGTTAGCATAATACAATCCCTAATACTTGTTGAGGGATCTTCTCTTACCAAGGGCTTTCACTTAAATGATCTCATTAAATCTTCCTACCACAGTGCTTGGTTAAGTAGTGCTTGGTGTGTAATTAATGACCACGCCCCTTTCCCACAAAGAAACATATTTTTACTCCCAGGGTTTCCTTATATAAAACTAATGCCCTGGAGATCAACAAGGACACACACACACACACACACACACACACACACTCACAAATAAGGTACATGGCTTCTCACCTGCGCACACACATCGTGTATAACTCCTCTGGGCTCAATATGTTAGAAGAGGTATCTTAGCTTATGCTGCAAAGACAGTCATCACATTTACATAAATTCTAGAGATCCAGGAGATCCCTAGCTTCTTGATGACCTGCAAAAGGAGCTCACACACCCTGCCATGCATAGGACATGCATGGAGCATGCACCCCTCCCCATAGCTCTGGCCTGGCTTTGGGTGAGCCTGCCCCAAGGCTGGAAGAAGCAGGAGAGGGCCTGGCAGAGCAGTGCAGACCTTTCTTTCTCTGCCCGCTGCGTTGCAGGCTGCTGCTCGTCATTTTCCAAATCTCCCCGCTGCTCCTGGGGCTTCACTCTTGAACTCAGAGCCCAGAGCAGACACCCAAGCTGCCCACAGCCCTAAAGTGTCCTGAGTGCCTCTAGGACCTAAATTCCCATAGTCTGTACTGAAAGCGACACCCCAAGGCTGCAGTTTACCTCAACCTCAGTTTGCCTTTTGAAATCTGCTCACAGACAATTTCCGAAAAAGTCCTTCGGGTTTGGAGAATGGGACTTTGAAAACAATTCCGTTTTTATTGTAGATTCGGGGGGGCACACGTGCGGGTTTGTTAGTAGGGAATATGGGGCGGTGCTGAGGTTTGGGCTTCTCTTGATCCCATCACAGAAAATGGGATTAATAATAATTAATTAATAAAGGCTCCCGAGGGCTTAATCCAGAGCTGGGTTCCCCATGCATGCTCAGTAAAGACCTGCTGATGGGCGGCTTACAACATCCCATCACCTTCAATTTTCTGTTTTGAAATAGCTTTAGTAGAGATGTTCAGATTGCTGTTCTCTGCGCTTGTTTTTGAGTCCAGGAATCAGATGATGTTGCTATCTGGTCCCAGCAGCCTAGAAAGACAGTGCTCCCAAGCATTTCTCAGAGGCTATGCTTTATGTGAGTCCTAGGCAAACAGAGAGAGAGGAGGCCCACCCCACATCACACACACTTCCCAAGGGACCAGACTCTGCATCGGCTCTCGGCTAAGAGTTGCTTTCAGAGTTGGAAAGGGGAGCTGTTTGCTGAGTTTTCTGACACTCTTGGGCAGAGTTATGGTTTGTTCAAAGAAGAGGCTTGTACTTAGGGAAAAAGTCAGGGACAATGAATTTCTAACGAATAGAACTTATGTCAGAAAGGCTGTGTGATGAAGCAGAAAGAGTTGAAAATTTGGGTTTGGGAGACCTGGGTCCAAGTCCCAGTGGCAACATACCAGTGGCGTGTTCTGGGCAGGCTACCGTGAGCCTGCTTCCTCACTGGTATAATGGGTATAATGATCATTGCTTACAGGTCCGTTGGGAACCTGGAATTAAAGAATGAATCTGAGGTCGGCCACAGTGGCTGTAATTGTACCCAAGAGTTCAAAACCAGCCTTGGCAACATAGTGAGACCCTGTCTCTCCAAAAATAAACAATTTAAAAACAAGCCAGGCACGGTGGCACATGATTATAGTCCCAGCTACTTGGGAGGCTGAGGTGGGAGGACTACTTGAGCCTGGGAGGTTGAGGCTGAATTGAATGATGGTTATGCCACTGCACTCCAGCCTAAGTGACAGAGCGAGACCCTGTATCACAAAAAAGAAAAAAAAAAAAAGAATGAATGAATGAATGAATTTGAAAGTACATGGTATCTGAGTTGTGGCTTCTACTAAAGTTTGATTTTTGCAGGTGGGAATAATATCCTCTGACCATTTCTGCCATGAAACATCTAGTTCAATGCTAGCACATGATCTAACTCAGGTAAGTACTCACTGACTCAAGAAAATTTCTGATGAATGGAAAATTGGAATTAGGAGCTATTTGCTTTTCCAAACAGTTTACTTCAGTGCTCTTTTTGATATCCAAATCTCTTAGGGAGCACTGACCAATAGAAATATAATGCCAGATGTGTATGTAGTTAAACATTTCCTAGTAGCTACATTTAGAAAGTAATTGAAATAGGTGAAATGAATTTTGATAATATAATTTCATTTAACTCATTATATCAAAAATATCCTTTCAACATAGAATCAATATAAAAATTATCAAGGAGATATTTATATTTCTTTTTGGTAGAGTCTGTAATTTACACTTACAGAATATCTCAATTCAGACATGGAATTTTTATCAGAAATACTTGATCTGTATGTACAGTTCACAAAATTTACGGTTGAAAAGTAGATTTATATACACAAGTTGTTCCAAATATATTTAAATATTTCCTTTCTTCCTTCCACTTTCTTTCCCTCCTTCGCTCCCTCTCTCCTTCTTTCTTTCTTTCCTTTATTTTTATTTTCTGATGGACTCTTGCTCTGTTGCCTAGGCTGCAGTGCAGTGGCACAATCTCTGCTAATTGTAAGCTTTGCCTCCCAGGCTCAAGCAATTCTCCTGTCTCAGCCCTCAGGTAGCTGGGATTACAGGCTTGTGCCACCATGCCCAGCTAATTTTTGTACTTTTAGTAGAGACAGGGTTTCATCATGTTGGCCAGGCTGGTCTCAAACTCCTGACCTCAGTGATCTACCTGACTTGGCATTACAAGCATGAGCCACTGTGCCCAACTGGTTTTCTAATAATTAAATTGAGTATCTGTTTATCAATTTAAATTTATTACAATAAAATAAAACTTCTGTTTGTCAAGAGCACTGGCCGCATTTCAAGGGCTCAGCTGCCAAAGCAGCGACATTGTTGGATAGTGCAGCTCCGAGGTGATTAAAATCTGCTCTTGACACTCCTGTCCACATATCCTTTGTCAGGTCCCGTCTTTGACAGATACTGAAGTACAGTTGTAAAGGTTAGATCTGCAGCTCTTACATCTGGGGATGTATTTAAGGTACAGATGTTCAGGTCCTCTTTGATTAAGAGAAACTGACTTTTCAGGTAGGCCCTGAGCATGAGTATTTTTTTCAAAACTTTCCAGATGCTTCAAATGTGTAGCACAAGTTAAATGCTCTAGAAGATGAATTTGGAGTTAACTCATTACAACATGTTGCTCCCTATTGACTGAGCAGTCTGTGGAGACCTGAACAGGAATAAGTTAGGCTTCTGTTACTTTTTTTTTTCTTTTTAAAACAACGCCAGCCTGGCATGGTGGCTCACAACTGTAATCCTAGCACTTTGGGAGGCCGAGGTGGGTGGATCACAAGGTCAAGAGATTGAGACCATCCTGGCCAACATGGTGAAATCCTGTCTGTATTAAAAATACAAAAATTAGCCGAGAGTGGTGGTGTGTGCCTATCGTCCCAACTACTCAGGAGGCTGAGGCAGGAGAATCGTTTAAACCTGGGAGGTGGAGGTTGCAGTGAGCCAAGATTGCACCACTGCACTCTAGCCTGGTGACAGAGCAAGACTCCGTCTCAAAAACAAACAAAACAAAACAAAAAACCAAAACTCCTCTCTTGGACCTTTTACAGGCTTTTAAAAGTTACATTTTATTAGTATTCTTACTAAGTGTGAGAATGATACCAATGCATTTTTAGCTGCTTTATTACTTTATAAATTAAAAAATATTTAGCCTTTGGGTTAGCATTGAGTTGATGTGTTCTTGGGGCTCTTCCCAAGAATATGCTTTTGCCAATTTATTTTAAAATGTTGAGGGCACCTTTCAGTACTGTGTTAATGCTTTTACTTATACTTTTTTGTGAACTGAATGATCGTAGCGAGATCACGCATGCCAGAATTACCGCACAGCCACTTCTTGCCAACATATATTGACATAATGGCTATCATTTGATCCTGACTCACCACGGTTGATCAGCCTAATTGGTTTCAGCAACATGTCTGATCTAACTGCAATTACATCATTGTGGTTGGGTGAGTTTGGGTAAATTTCCTGAGCTGTTGTTTTCATGTCTGAATTTGCCAATTAGTCGCTTATATACCTGCCCTGGTTTTTATAGTGTGGGGATTTGCATTACTTTATTAATTTCCTATTATTATTTCCAGAAACCCAACAATAGTTTTTCATTTTGCTTATTTAATCAACAAAACTTGGAGGTGCACCACCTACCTCGCTCCAAGGCAGTAAGGTAAGTCTCATTGGCAATTAGACTTCATTTAGCTTGCCAGCTCCAGCTGCTGATTTCACTGTGTTGATTCACACCTAGGCTCAGTGGGAAAGAAAGTTGTGAATGGAGGAGAGAGTGTGGTCCCACTGGCAAAATATTTTCTGCCCTGTGCTTGAAGCTGAGGATATAAAGACAATAAGCACTTACTCCAGCAGAGATAAAAAATTAGGAAACCATTCTGTGATATTGGTTTATGGAAAGTTCTATAGAAACACAGAAGAGCAATTTCTCTTCTGTGGGAGGTATGGGGGCCTTGGGGTGGGGAATCAGGAGACTATGAAGTTGTCACAAAGGTAATATTTCAAGTGGGTCAGGAAGGAATTGTGGGAATTTGGCAGAAAACGAGGAAAAGCATTTTTATGTGTGTATTTTTCATACTTTGATATGTTGCTATCAGAATAAATGCAATTGATTAATGCTATTGGTCAAGTTTAGTTACATTAATATTTGTACCTCATATATACCATGAAATCTCATGTCTATTTGTGAGAAATTCAAAGCACTTTGCAATTTCTGGCCCACTTTAATTGTTTTTGTTTCATTTTATTCTATTGCCCTTCTTTTGCTAAAGTAATGAGGTTTATATATATACACAAACTGAGAGGCTGAGATCCCTGCTTGGCACATAGTAGGTAATACATATTTGCTGAATCAGTGAATGAACATATTCAGGTTACCTGTATCTTTTGCATAACTGGAGAGCCTATCAAATGCACCTATCATATATATGTGTATATATATATGGGATACACATCCCTTTCTACCATCAAAGCAACTAATTGCTGATGTGCTGATGGAAGAACACTAGCAGGCAGGACGATCCTGTTATGACATATTCAGATCATGCTGTTCGGCTCAAGCCCCTGCGGTTTTCCACGTATGCATAGTGAAACCCTCTTACCCCCTGCTGGCCTCCTTTCTGGGTGCTAAGCCCCTGCCCCCTTGGGCTGAGATCACTGGGCTCACTGACCTTCCCATGACTCAGCCAGGCTGGTTCCTGCCTCTGGGGGTTTGACACTTACTCATTTCCCCCTGCTTGGAACTCTCTAGCTCAGGATGTGCTCACAACTGGCCCCTCACCTCCTGAAGGAGGTTCTTTGCTTCTTATGGAAGCTTTCTCACCCACAAGCTTATTTTTATTTTCATCTTGAAACAGAGTCTTTCTCTGTCGCCCAGGCTGGAGTGCAGTGGTGCAATCCTGGCTCACTGCAACCTCCACCTCCCAGGTTCAAGCAATCCTCCCATCTCAGCCTCCTGAGTAGCTGGGATTACAGCCACGCGTCACCACGCCCGGCTAATTTTTCCACTTTTAGTGGAGACGGGTTTTCATCATGTTGGCTAGGCTGATCTTGAACTCCTGACCATCAAGTGATCCATCCATCCCTGCCTCCCAGAGTGCTGGGATTATAGGTGTGAGCCACCACGCCCATAGCAGTTGCTCCCACTCCACCCTGTCATTCCCTATTTGCTCCCTGAGTTTTCACCAGTGCAGCTGTCACTGACGTGCTACAGATGTTACTCACTTATCTTATTGATTATCTCTGAAGCATGTCAGCACCATGAAGGCCAACACTTTTTTTTTTTTTTTTTTTTTGAGACAGAATCTTGCTCTGTTGCTAGGCTGGAGCGCAGCGGTATGATCTCAGCTCCCTGCAACTTCTGCCTCCCGGGTTCAAGCGATTCTCCTGCTTCAGCCTTTTGAGTAGTTGGGACTATAGGTGCATGCCACCACACCCAGCTAATTTTTGTATTTTTAGTAGAGATGGGGTTTCACTATGTTGGCCAGGGTGGTCTCCATCTCTTGTCCTTGTGATCTCACCGCCTTGGCCTGCCAAAGTGCTGGGATTAGAGGTGTGAGCCACCATGCCTGGCAAGGCCAACACTTTTGTCTGTGGTATTCTCTGTTGCATTTCTGCTGAGAACATAGTGGGTGATGCATATTTGAATCAAAGAGTGAACATATTCATACTGTATGTGTTTTTAGCATAAGTAACTGGGATCCTAGCATATGCAACTTACACATTTATATTATATGTATTTGCCACGTTGTAAATATTCTTTAACATGGTTTTTACTTACCATATCATTTTAGCTTGTGAATATGTAACAGTGTGTGCTGTGATCTTTCTTTTTTTTTTCCTGGCGGTAATACCAGTATGTTGTGTCTTTCTCTAAGTGTGTGCTGTGGTCTAAGTGT